AGAAACAGATTTAGTTTCAAAGTTTTACTTTGCGGGTTGAAGGGGTGGGAACTTTTGTGGATTTTTTTTTAACCCAGTGGCAAACCATCGAATGATGGGGTAAGAGTTGGGGAACATCTTACCAATTTATTAGGAAGAATATTAATTCGATAACTAAACAATCAATATGAGTTAAACTTAAGGCAATTTCAGTCGCAAATTATACCGTGGGATCGGCCCACCTTGCACATGGTGTGCCGATCCCAAAACGGCAGCAATCTTAATTAAAACGACATATTCTTTCTTCGCCCAACCATCCTACGAAACTATTTTCATGCACAACCGCCTGCACTTTGATCAGCACACCTCGGAAATTCCAACAGCAAACACGTATTCCCAGACGGATGAAGGGCTCCTTTGTGATTCGCCAACTTATTGCAGCCCTTGGGTGATTCGACGACTTAGATGATGGGCTCCTTTGTGTCGCCAGAGTAAACAGATCGTTGCATGTGGATGCCCATTTACTCATTCTGGCCAACAAAAGTTAAAAATGTCCACCAAATTGGTATACATACGGAGCATTTAAAGAGATGCAGGAGTATTTATATATGTATATATACATATAAATATAGATATAAATATTAGACAGCTTACATTTTGATTGGGTTCAACTTACATGTTCGATAATGTAATTTACATTTCCATTTATCTCAAGTTACATTTATCTCAACAAGAGTATTATGTTCATTTTACATCATAATGTACGCGAGTTACATCTTAATGTATGCGAGTTACATCTTAATGTACGTGAGTTACACCACGCGCTAGTTATACCACAACATAAACCCCTGCTAATGAGCAAAAAATGATTTTTTGGGGAAAAATTGATTTCTTTAAAACAATTTATGGTCTTAATATTAAAAATAAAACATATTCACTATTTAGATAAAGTGAATAAGTAATTGGACTCTTTTTCTTAATGTTTACACTAAAATAAGTGTTTTAGAAAAGTTACACTGCGACTTGCCCGCAGTTACATTTCTAATCAGTGTGAGTTACATATCTTTACAAGCGAGTTACATCACCCAATTGCTGGAACAAGGAAAAAAACAAAAATAAAGTTAGTGTTCACGCGGGTGAACAGTAACACACGAATTTGTCTCTAGGAGCACTATGCTCATGGTGGGTTGCTCCCACGGTATAACAACTCGAACATGGTCGTTTTCCAACTTTGTGGCTTTGTGCACCATGTCTAATAAAAACTTAAAAAGTCCTAAACTAATAATAATGGTGTATCAATCGAACATGGTCGTTTTCCAACTTTTTGGCTTGGTGCACCATGTCTAAAAAAAACTTAAAAAGTCCTAAACTAATAATAACGAGATTTCCTAAAGATAATGCGGTAGCTAAGATGAAAATCGATGTTAGACACTTCAAAAAATCAGGTCATGAATATATCAATCTAATCAAGGTGATAACTCCGTCACCCTCCTAAAAATGGGGTACCGTACCTACCATTCATTTGATTGGACTACATCACTTTATCATTTTTAATTTAGATTTAAATAATTCAACTGCTACATTTTCATTGGTCCATTTGGACAAAGGTATGGTACCTTATGAGTACCATAGAATCTACCTTTTCAATACAGTAACTTTTATCATTTTTTATGGCCAAATTACCAAATTGGTAAAAAAGCGCTGTTTTAGAGATTGGTAAAAAAGAACAATTTGAGATATATGGTGAAATTCACAGGAATAATCTGTACCTTTAGGGATTCTACAATAATAATCCCTACTGAGAGTGTCTACAAAAATAATCCGAACTAACAATATTGTTCATAAGAAAAAATAAGGTGAATTCAAATTAATGTTTGTTTAATACTTTCAACACTTGCTCTCGCTTTTCTCTTCCCCGGGACGAAGAGTGACGAATGAGAAAGTGGAAGTAGAGGTTGGAAATATTAAATGAGCATTAGTTTGAATTAAATTTGATTTATTCTTATGGACATTATTGCTAGTAAGGATTATATTTATAGATACTCTAAGTATGGATTATTATTGTAGAATCCATAAAAGTATGAATTATTCTTGTGAATTTCACCGAGATATATTGGTAAAAAAAAGAGATTTTTACGTAAATATTAGCAATAATGTTTGGGTTTACAAAAAAGTGACTATAACTACCAATCACGTATGACAGCATGGGAATAATTGTAGGGAAACCACTTTGTTTTTATCCGTTGTCATATTTTTGTTAGAGAGATTTAAGGTAGTAATATATGTGTAATTTTTTCTAAAAAACAAGCCCTAGTGACAAATTGATCAATTTTTTGTGAGTGATAAACTTTTGATCATCGACTTCAGAATTCCCAACATTTCACATTCTAAGTATTGTGAAATTGACATTTGCATTTTAATTTGCAGTCATTTTACTATGATTTTGTCATCAAAAGTTAAGGTCTAAAAATGTCAACGACCGTGTTTGATAGTAGTAGTTGTTTGCTAGCTCATAGCCGGTTGAATCAGCAGATTGATATTAGCGGATTCCGTTAGTTGTTTTAACTAACTGCTTTCATTAGCGGTTTGAAATGAAATGTTATTAACTTAAAATTTGCAATTAGCTTTTCAGACGTAAAATGACCTTAAAAAATGAATCTAAAAGTTTATATATTTAAATTAGTTTTTTTTTAATAAGTCTTGGAAAAAGTTTTACGTTTATTTTAAATAATCACTAATGCTATCATTTTTAAGGTATGTACATTAATGCGATTACATACATATACTTTTCATATATTTTTAGTATTAATATTTTTAATATGACTGTTTATTAGTTTTTTTTTAAAACCTACTCCATTAAAAAAAATCTACTCCAGAATTCTACTCCATATGACTATTTATTAGTTTTTTTTAAATCTACTCCATGGTTATTTAAAATAAATGTAAATATAATTTTTGAAACATTTTCAAAGACTTATTAAAAATAAAAGAAATAAAGTTAAGATAAATATATATACTTTTAAATTTCAAACGCTAAAGAAAGCGGTTAGTTATAAAAGCTAATGAAATCCATTATTATCAATATGCTGATTCGACCGGCTATTAGCTAGCAGACAACCGCTATTATCAAACACGTACGATCGTTGACATTTTCAGACCTCCACTTTTGATGACAAAATCAAAACAAAAAGACCAAAACTGTCAATTTCACAATACTTAGAATATGAAATGTCGGGAGTTCTAAAGTCGATGATCAAAAGTTTATCACTTACAAAAAAATTGGTCAATTTATCACTAAGGTTTCTTTTTTTTTTTACCAATATGTCTCAAGTGGTTTTTTTACCAATCAGTCAAATAACCCTTTTTTTTTTTACCAATTTGGTAATTTGGCCCATTTTTATACATATATGCTCTTTTTGTCATTTTTATTGTATCATTTTTTATCTTTATCTTATATTTATCTTAATCTGGTATCTCTTTTTATCATACCTTATCTATTTATTTTTCTCATCTTTCTTTTCTTTTTTACTCTGATGTCATATATATCAGTTTGTGTTAGTCGGTCCACAACTCTTTTGGGGCTAAGGCTTGGACGTCGTTCTATAGTAGGCCTGGGACCGGTTCGGTTCCTAGGCGAAATATGTGGAACCGTTTGAAAATATGAAATTTTACTAACGGTTCGGTTCTTATAAATTATTTTGTAGAACCGATAAGGAACCGAACCGTTCTTAACGGTTCGGTTCTTGTCATTTAACGGTTCCTAGTATTTAAAAAAAATCTTACAAATCACGGTTAAATTTGTGTCAAAGACACATTCAACGCTTGAAATTACAATACAAATATGTTGAACTTCGTTTCAAACCTCAAAAGTTGAGTTTAAAAGATGAATACATAACAAACTGCAAATTTTAGAAAACAAAAACAAAACAAGATACTCGGTAAAGAAGCCCAATAAAACCAGTTAAATGAAAAATAATTTCAAATAGTTAAATAATTAAACTAAAATAGTGAATGTATTATGAAAATAGATAAGTAAATATACATTAAAATATATATACTAATAAGAAATATATATAATTTTAATTATTATATATAACGGTTCTTTAACGGTTCCACGTACATATTTTTTACAGGAACCGAGAACCGAACCGTTAATAAAAAGTAGGAACCGAACCATTAACAAATAACTAATAAATTTTGGAACCGAACTGAACCGGGTCATAACGGTTCGGTCCGGTTCGGTTCTCCGGTTCTTGGTTCCAAAGTCCCAGCCCTATTCTATAGCACCTATCAGCAAAATGATTCAAGGAAAAGAGAGCAAAGGAATGTGGGTATACGGTGGTAGGTATAATTGTTTGACATTCGAACAATGGAAGTATGGAACTTGTAAATTCAATTTTTCATTTTCTTTGTCACAATAAGCTAGCTATGATATGTTTTTCTCCCTACCATTTAATGCATAACTCGTTTGAGATTTGTGATCTAAGAAATAATAGTGTGTCGTAGTAGTTCTGCTTCTTCTGCTTTTTAAAAGTGATTATTTTAAGAGATTATTGGAAAAGTGATTTTAAGTAAAAGTGGATAGTGTTTGAAAATAGAAGTGATTTTTATTAAAAGGTAAAAGTTGGAATGTTTGATAAAAAAGTGCTTTTTTGAGGTATTAATTTGTTAAAGTACAAATATAACCTTCTATATATTACATACAAATAGGAATTGGGGATATTGGGACGGTGCTCGTAGAGACGGTGCTCCCTGGTAATAGCGTATTTCTATTCAATGGATGCTAGCATAGTGTGTGTGTATATATACGAGTATATATATTCATGTATCTAAAGATGAAGAATATCAATTTTTAATTTTCTCGATTGTGGGAAGCATGAGAGCCACGAAGCAGTTGCAGTGAGAAGCGGAGAGGAGGGTTCCGATTTCTGATTTCTTCATGTTTGCAATTTTTGTATACATAATATATATATATAATTATAAATATATAAAGGAAGCAAAATAGAACTTGAAATGGAGTCAGACAGTTGCAGCAAAGCGTTGGAGGATGCGGAAGAAGAAGGGCTTTTTGGGTTTTGGATCAATAAATTTGTCATTATTAATGCCCTTGGGGTTTGCTTTATTTACAAAAAAAAACCCTAGAAGCAGTTAGAAGCAGCCAAATACCAGCTTCCAGCTTTTGGCTTTAAAGTGCTTTTTTTAAGTAGAAGTAGGAGTTTGCAAACACTGATTTCTACTTTTTTTAAGCCAGAAGCTGAAAAGCGCTTTTTTTAATCTTTTGCAAACACTGCCTAAGTACAAAAAAATGCAGGAGATTGGGGGCCGTACTACATATGATATATGTATACTAGTGGTGTGATCGGTGAGCTGTGCAATTAGAAGGTCCTACTCCAAATTCCTCATAATATGTCTTCTCTGCATTTTCTATCCTATCCTGAAACATTTTCCACTCTCTTCTACTCCTTTCTTTCACCTGCAAAGATGAAAAACTTATTGGAACATTTTGTATGTTGAACATACTTACATACAGGCGAACATCCTATGAATGTTGAAAGCATTACTTAACTCTCACTTACTAATGACCCATTACTTACCTCTCTCCGATTAGACTTCTCATCATCCATGTTCCCCTGGTGAAAGGAAATTAAATGTTAGCAATGTAAAGTAAAGCAAATAGAGATGGCTTTAGTCATTGCTAATCATAAGAATGCTATCATGGAAATGCCTATTCACATGCATTTAGTATTCTTTTTATTACCGAAAGCGAAGGTATGCCTTGATGAACAATCGGTTGAGCATCAACGACTCCAATCTTCTCGATTGCCGGTGGCTACATAGCATCATCAATGTTTTTATTGTTAGAGGCCATTGTAAGAAACATGGACTGATTTCCTATAGTTGTAGCAGCAGTAAAATAAAAAAAACTAACCTCAACACATCTTTGAAGTGCGAAGTCAAGACCCCAACCATGGACCAAGTCATTCTACAATTAATAGAATGGTAAAGGTTATGTCTTAGACTATAAAGCCTTTGTCTGGTTCAATGATCTACATGTGTAACACTAATAATGTAGAGCAACATAAATGAAGGTGATATATTTATTTTCTACCTTTTTGAGCATTCAACTAAAACAAAACTACCTTAATTGGGGAAGTGATACATGAGGGGTATGAATGATTTCGAGCACCTGCACTTCCCCCTCTCCTTCCCTCTAACTCTCTCAACCAAACATACACCACACATTTACTTTCCTCCCCTCCCTTCCAAAACCCTCAGACCCAACCATGGTAAAGCAGGGAAAAAAATGAGAAAGGCAAGGAACTCTAGGTGCACCACAATGCAAGCTAGTTTTGTTTAATGGTCTCCAATTAAGTTTTATGCCAGTCTCAGATAGGCACTAGGACTTACGGGTCTACCACCCATGGACCAACTTTTCAGGACATTATACCTGAATCATATGCCACACACAGCGCCATGCATTTCTAGAGAAGACAGGTGCCATGATCTCCACAAATCTAAAATTAGGCTAACGAACATCATATCGACATATAGAAACATCATGCAAAATTGCATTGAAAAGCACTAGAATTGAACAACTAGTTCATTTATTCATACGCTGCACATGGAGGCTGATGAAGGTCCCAACACCAGCCTGCTCTCTCTTTTGTTTCTCTAATCACCCAAAAAGATGTCAATGCAGCCCCATAAACATTGGTTAATAGAGGCAGGCCAAATTACAGTGCACATGCAATAATACATTTCACCATTCTTACTTGTGAACTTCGCTGTAGCCTTTTATCTGCCTTGTCATTTGCCATGTTATCCCAACATCTTTGTAGGACTCCAAAGCCGGCTGTGAAATTTCCAGTCCATGTTTCTTCACAAGTTTAATGTATCTGAAATCGGAGACGAAAACCAAAAGAAGGTTTCATTGCACTCGCAGTAAATAAAACACAAAAAATCTGATGACTGATTACTCACTCCTCAGCATCAAAATGATCAACGCCAATGTCTTCGTCCCAGATAAATATATAATCATATGGTGATACAATGTCCGGATGCAGAAACCTTTTCGCATACCACCTTGAACAAATTTTAATTTAGGGGTCCAATTAAAACATTGGCATTAATTAGATGAATCTACCCAAGAAATTGATCGTATCTTGGGAGAGGTTATTACCACTTTGTCTGTTCGTTAGCAGTCACATGAATGACATTCTTTGACCACTCAAATTCATCCCACTCGGAGGTTCGTCCGTCGTAGTGAAACAGAAGGATGGTAAAATTGTCTGAAAACTGAAGGAGAACAAGTTGTTAGAGATATTGGGGGGAAATGTGGGTAAAAAATCTACAAGACTTCACCTTCTTCACTGCAGCGTCAATGATCTTCTTCTGGTTATAACCTACTGTGAATGTCACCAGATACTTTGGTTTGCTTGCTAAGTCCTGCATATAATAAGAATATACTTAACGGTCTAACGGATATAAATAAAGCATGATTCAACTATCACTCTGTTTCATCAATCATCACACTGTCACAAAACAGAAAGGGGGTTTAGGTTCTGTTTATCAGTAATCTATCTAGTTTTATTTTCATAGTCTGTTTTTGTAGTTACAAGTGAATGCATCTTCTGTGGTAAGACATTCCACACCTATTTAAACTCACATATTTAAGGCCTTGAATTAATATAGGGCCAAACAAAAACAAATACAGAGTGAAGTATAAGTAGTTTTTGGATTATTCTTCCTCAGCCAAAATATTTATCATTTTTTGTTGACGTTTAAGTGGAGAAAACGTAGGCCTTATTGATCTTCTTAACTAAAAAATATTTTGAATAAGTTTTATTTGAGTATGCTATGGAACCTTTCGGAGTTTTGGCATGGGCTTACATACACGACACCATTAAAGAATGTTTCAGTTTATATAAAAAACATATGCTAAGATATCCAGAGCATCTGCTAAAAAGCCTCAATTCTGGCACATAAATGTTAAGTAATTTTGTGAAGCCAATAAATGCTATGACTTGTAAGAACAAAGGAGTCGGGTTGAACAGTCACCTCACTGGGGATTCCCCATAACCGCCGAAGATAGAAATCTGATTCCGAAACAACAATATCAGGAGGCAACCTTTCTGCTCCTCTTGGGTTTGATGGAACCCAAATCTGATCAAGACATGAAGAAGGAGAAGAAGATGATAAATTTAGAGTCCAAACACGTAACTTTATATTTGAGGCTCTAATAATAAGAAAAAATAGGATTGAAATTATTTTCTGGATGTATTGGCTGAAGTATTATAGATGATCATTTTATCTATTTTTCATATAAATTTTTCTTTATGTTATTAATAAAATGTATTTAAAATATATATTTTTCATAAATCAGCATAATCGATCAATACAGTCACTTCAGCCAGAACTTCATAAATTTCAACAGAATTAGTCGATTCAGCGGATTTTAGCGTTACCAAACGGGCTCTTAAACTTCTTTACTTTCAATGTTATCATCCAAAACGACATCCTTTTAGGGCCTCTTGGAAGATTTATTTATGAAATTTATGACTAAAGTGGTTGATTTGTTGATTTATGAAAAAATTAAAGTTAAAATATTTTTTTAATAAAATAAAGAAAAAATTATATGTAAAAGTAACTAAAATGATTCTCTACAGTAACTTCAGTCAATATAGTCAGAAAAATAAATTCAATCTTACTTTTTCTTATTAGTACATATTTTAGCGCGCAAAATAAAAAGGTACATATTGGTGAAAAGTTTGATTGATAAGCATAATAAGTCGAAGAACAAGGTTACCGAACGGGCTCGGTAGTGAGCTTTATTTAGAAAGATGTTTCCCATATAATTGTGTATTTGTGTGCACTTGTTTATTGGGTGAATTCTAAGCTTTGTAATTAGCAGTTTACGATGATCGTATTACCAATAATAAGAAGGACGTGTTTGATCATATTTATTTTGTTAGTTTTGTAAATCAAACTTTTATTTTTGAGTTTATGTTACGAAGATGAAAGTTAAATGTTTTACTATAGCCAATTGTGATTTATCTGCCATTACATGACATTGTGAATTTGTGATAAAAAGAATTATTTAATTTAGACATGTTTTATCATATACAGAGTATAATCATATGGGGGGAAACTGTATCGAGTGTATCCAATGCTCCATCTATCCCAAAATTATTTATAGTCAACATTCATTTGTCAAAACAATTTCACTTTGTTTACTTATTTAGCATGTCAATTTTCTATTAATTCGTATGAAGTATATTCTAATTTGAATTGTGTGACTTCATAGAACTTTCAACATAGTTTTCGAATATGAAATATTTTAATTATTGAAACTGCTTTAACTATTTGTATGGATGATTTAATTTTATTGTCGGACAACCATAAAAATCACAAATTGGAATTCAATTTGAAACGAGGAAGTAATTGGATAAACAAAAAATGTCAAGAAATGATGTACCTCTGTAGAATCTGTTATGTTTTGGCTTTGTGCAGTGTCATTACATTCTGTAGTTGAAGTTGCATACTCTGGAGTTGGCAAAAGTACATTGTTACTGAGACTTGTCACCCTAACATTGTGCTGCAAAATTAGAGGGATTATTGAGAATTATATATATGGATATGGAAGATGATATCATGCATCTATCATATATATATGGGTAATATGGTGAAGTACGAATGAGTGAGAGGTAGCTGCTAAGGTACGTACCTTATTTGATGTTAGAGTTGGATATGTGACACCAACAAAGAATCCAAAAGCGGCGCCTACGATTATACTCAAAATAAGTCTCTCCGCTGCAATTGCCCTTTTACCATTCAAACTATATATGCAATAAATGTAAAATCAATCTTAGTATGTATGTAGTGGCAGGAAATCAGGAATCAAAGAATATAGAGATCGATTTTGCTTGACAATTAATTTATAACTACGTACCCGTGTACATAGTTCTTCATGTTAAATGTGGCATGTGATTTTATCATCAATTTGCTACTTTAGATAGAGCAAATAGTTGCAACAATATAATTGCATGTGCATTCTTCGCCAAATACCTTTTCTGTTACCAACGGACTTGGACTTTTTATGTATGTGCACGCACAACGAGTGCCAATATATCCTCCTGAGGAAAGTGCATGTTTTTTATAGAGGATTAAATTTTCAAGTTTGAAGGGAGGCAATTCAAACAAATAGAGAGAGAGAGGCCTTGATTTGTGTCATTCATGGAAAGGGAAAGTTGGCGCTTGCCTTTTACTTCATAACCATCTCTATTGCAATAATATAATGCTTCTTTTTTGTCATCCTTGACACAAGATGTGTCCAACTTTAATTTTATAAGAGCGTGCTTTATTTTATCAATACCAACAATACGCCCAACTCCTTAGTTTTGGGAATATATATAGACACAAAAGCTCTAAGCAATAGAAATTACTGCTTCTCGATTTTAAGCTAGCTAAGGCATACTACTTTCAAATCTAATAAATACTTCCTCGGTTCCTCCGCCCCGTAAAATTCTTCCCGATGTGACTTGGATCACAGTTTAAGAAGGTGTGAATAAAGTAGAAATATATGGACGTGGTTGAGTAAAAAATGTAAATGAATGATAATCACACAAAACTTTCCAAAAAGAGAAATGAGAAAAAAAAAAAATTGGGACATCCCAAAAAGAAAAGTGAGAATAATTTTGAGGGAGGGAGGGAGTACATATAAATATATAATACACCAAAATGGAAGCAAACGAGAAACACGTTCGCATATATAATACAGTACATAATTAGATGGATAAGAAAAAAATACAGAACGTACCCACTAATCACCCTATAAAATAACCAATTCCACTCGAAAGCAAACTTCGGCAAGTTTATGGGGTTTATGGTTTGTGCATAGCCTCACACACTGTACATATTAAGCTTGTGTTTCAGCTAGAGGTACTGGGTATATTGAAATTGGATGAATTAATAATACTAGTCTATGTTTATGCATAAACATGTTGCATACAAGATCCAGGAGAACGCAAAGATGGTGTTGATGGCAAATAAAGAAAATGCAAAGAGGGGAAAAGTTGGGCACAAGAATCAATATGATCAATTAGGTACTTTGCCTTTTGCAAATGTGCTTAATTATTACGAGAATCAATATTCTCCACTCTTCTCATACATGCACGATACAACCAAAATTATTAATTAAGCACGTATTAAGAAAATCATTCACCTTAACTTTAAAAAATATTCAAATCAATCATTTACCCGGTAACTAATAGGCTAACAGGCTGATATGCATATGTAGGGTGTTGACATGGTTGGCTGATTTTAATCTTGAGTTTTTTTTTTTTTCAAAAATATTATTGAAATAAAATGTATTTAAAAAATATGTCTAATAGTTACTACTCCGTATAATATAGTGTCATGATCAATTAAGTTTAAAAGTTGAACATAATTAGTTACTATATGTGACTAAGTTATGTACTATTATAATCACCGCTACACATAAGAGGGCACATTTTTGTATAAAACTTTATTTTAGTTATGAATAAGTAACTATTCCTCTAATTTTTTCATTTCTCTGTTTGTTTTCTTTTTCCCTTCTTCATCTCTTATTTAAAACCAATAGCTATACAATAATACCACTCGTAAGATAAATTAATTTCATATAAATGTTTTATTTTATTATGTCCTTCGAGGGTTGAGAGCTAAGTCCGCGAAAACCATAAGAGTTAGAGCATTGACATTTACGTATGAATGTGTACGTAGCATGTTATTACTCGATATTTTATTCACTTGTGTAAAGTTCAATAAACAGTGGCGGACCTAGGCATCGGAGGTCAGTGTATGCACATACAAAGTATGTAATGTCCACTAATGTATTCCGTACGAATTTATTATTACAATAACAAAGGTTAAATAAAACATAAATATATGTTTGTACTTCCACCATCCTGAATTGATTGAAATTTGTGATTTTTAAAGTTGACCGATAGTAAGGTTAAATTATACCTATGGATAGTTAAATCGTTTTTATAAATAAAATTTACATATTTGGAAATACATTGAAAGTTCAATAAAGTCGCAAAGCTCAAATTGAAATATAGTAAAATTTTGATTTGTTAAATTAGTAAATAAAATGAAACTGTATCGATATAAAAATAAAATTTACTTTGCAAATCCTTTTCGGAGGGAGAAAACACTCGGTACGTGGGTTACACACTAACAAATGGAAGAATTAGATAATAACTATAATCTTTAATAGGGAATAAGTATTTAATTAATAATCCTAAGCCTTTAATTAAAAAACATCATGAGGAGTGAATTTGTTTCTTTTAAAAACCTGGGGCGAACTTGGACAGTTTGACGTGAAGCACTGCCATAGTTCAAAAAAGAGGGTGTAGCCTCACCAGGTTTCGAACTCCTGATGTTCAGAATAAAAAAATTTAAACTACTTTCCCACCACCACCTAGGCTAACAGGAATTATTGAGGTGAAGCTTATGCCTACTCTAATTAACATGTACGTCCGCCCCTGTCAATAAACATGTTATAATTGTTTGAAAACCTCTTTAATTGGTACCCTACATTTACAACACGTTTACTTCACGGGTTACTAAACGGTACTTATTAAGACTCGAGTTAATAAGCGGCACATAAAATAAGCAGTGTTGTAAACTCATGTTTACTTCAAAGAATGTATAACACTGTTTAACATTAAAATGTCCAAAATAACCCTATACATATATAACACACAAGCATTCATGAACACACATATATAATATAATATGTGGGGGTCACCTCGTGCACGTACTCATACCCCTGACCCCTACCCCTTCCCTACCCATCTTACCTCGACCTTACTCTCTACCCATACCCCTAATCCTACACTAACCCGTAGGGGGTGGGGTCAGGGTGGAGTCGAGGTAAGGGCAAGGGTCAGGGTGGGGTCGAGATAGGGCAGGTGGTGGGGGGTAAAGGGGTAGGGTAAGGGGGGCCTACCGTGGGGGGGTAAGGGGTTATGGTCGGGGGGTTAGGGTTGGGGTCGGGGTAAGGTAGGGTAGGGGTGGGTGGGTAGAGGGGTAGCGGGTAAAGGGTAACAATAAGGTAAGGAGAAGGGGTAAGAGTAAATTCGAAAACTGAAAAAGCTTAAAGTGCCGCTTAATTAATACATGGGGTGTGATATATTTAGTAAGCGGCACTTTAAGCACCTCGTTCGGTTAGTAAACAACTTTTTAAGTAGCTTGTATGTTTACTTCACCTGTCTTACTAATCTAACTGTGACTTTAACAGCGAAATAAACATTTCCCTAATGTAAAATTGCTAGTGTCTCATTTATTATCACATATGATAAATTTATTTAATCTGGATGGATTTGTAACCTATGAGTAAATACCATATATGCAAGATAATAAAGTGTATTTTCATGTTCCAAAAAATCGGGATATATACACCTCATAACAGGATTACATCGAATTAGTGATGAAAGGAGTTTGGTAAAATATGATTCTATCGAGATGCATAAACTTAACTACTACTTCGTATGATCTTCAATCTTCATGCTATAGGTGTAAAATGATTGTATAATTATTAACTATTCAACTAAATAGTACTCCCTCCGTCCCTTATAACTTTGTCAACTTTCCTTTTTTGTTGTATTAAAAACATTGTCAATTTCCCTTTTAATAAATCAATTTGTGGCTCATGTTATTTCTCTTTCCTCTGCACAAATCTCTATTACATAATTTGTGTGTAAATATTTACACACTTTTCTCCTCGATATTACTTGTTCTTATCATTCTTTCTTCTTTACATGTCTCTCGATCAACACACACTTCATCAAATGTAAGTCTTGTCTTTATTCTCCTCGATAATCTTTTTTTTTTTTGAAAACCATGAAGCATTCAATCTTATTATCATCATTTTCATGTAGTTCTTTTCCATTCATACACCTGCAATGAGAATACAATCACTATTACACAACTCCATAATGGATTATTACAAGGAACCATATAAAACAATCAAATAAGTAAAAAAGACTTGTTTTATATGAACAGCACAGTTTTACATCAATGAATTACTACTTGATCAATGAACACCACAATTTTACATTATTAAAAAAGAAGCACAGGGAATCATGACACAAAAAATATCTCTTTATCTTATTTATACCTAAACAAGGGCATCCAGACACCACTCAAAGATATTCTCTCTTTATCTTATTTATACCATTCAAAAGAACACCCGAGATGATGTCTTTTCCAAAATAAATCCATTAGCAATCTGAGTTCATAAATCCATTACAGTTCAAAAACAAACTGTAAAATATGATGCATATGATTTACTTGCCTCTATTTTTTTTAAATGTGACAGATTGACTCATCCATCTCAAAGAAAGCACCAGTTGTTAAGTTACTGCCTTTCAGGGAGCTCCGGGCTCCACATAGAAATAAAAAATTAGATATGAAGGGAAGATGGTAGAAGGATAATAAGTGATGAGAAAATTGCTTTTCTTGCATACAATCCGTTATTACAATATGAGGGATTAAATATGAATTCTATGCCAATGCCACGAGCTACTCTTATTCTATGCCTAACTTGGAATGTAATAAATTTAAATAAGCTAATCATTCTCCTTATCTATATTCCAACAATTCTCCTGGATTTTAGTCTATCAATCCTAACTTCCTTCTAGATATACTACTATCCATATACACAACCATCGATCATCCATTCGGTCTTCTTTGAGCCTTGATGTGATCGGCAGATTGCCTGTTGGGTGCTTTATGCGGTAGCATACATATGAGCATGTGTAATGATTTTGCAAGACTTGAGATCTATTCATAAAGATCATCAAGAATGAAAAAAAGACGGTGTAATCAATTCATCAATATAATCATCAATAGAGTCATATACATGAACTAAGAGGCACCTAGATGATGGCAACTCAAGAAAACTTCAAAGAAAATGGTCAGGTTTCATACTAAACAGGGCAGTAACACATTTTTAAAGTTCAGAAGATCAAAACAGGAACTTTACCATAGGATATGAGAAGGTCTATTGCAGGAGCAACATACTAAAATTTGGTGAAGACTGGAGTTTTTTAGTGCTCAATCAGAGCCAACCGATCAGCTGCACTCTAGGCAAAATGCCCCATCCTCACTGATTCACATCCACACTGCAGAATTTAACATGTGAAAAACAATTTAATATCTGGCTAGTGATGCCTCTCAGTACTTAGAGTGGGAAAAAACAATCTATATCAATTCAAATACCTCACTGTACATGGAGTGAGAAAAATAGTTTATATCAAGTGCTGTTGCCACTTGTTTGCTGTTGGTGTTCATCTCGGGAGCGCTAATCGATGTTCTTCGATGCTGCTTTATATGTGGCGCTACTCGAATAAGATAAAGGAGCTGATTTCGCCTAGAGGTGCAAAGAGTGGGGAAGAGTAGTAGATTGCTTTTCGAAGCTCGGGAAGGGCCACCATTAAGTTGTATTCAATCAAAAGCTAGTGCCGTCAGAGGCATAGGCAGCAGACAGAATTTGATCTAAGGAACTTGGTGAGACTTGGATAGATCTACCTATGTATTTCTGAGAAGAAGATAGACTCTGAGGTTGAGATTTTGATGAGAACGTGATCTATTATGCGTTTGTGAAGAAGATGATACGAGACGAGTTACTGGGAGATAGATACTCCTCCATCTTCGGATTGAAATCGGCGAGTGTGAAGCTTGAATTACCAGCGCCTGACATCAATCTCCAGACAACTTCGATCTAAATGGATTTAGGGGTTAGGTTTTAGTTGTAAGAGATAACTTTTTTTAAATAAAAAAAGTTTAGCAGAAAAAAAGTGAAAAGGCAAAAGTTTAAATATGAAAAAATTAAAAAAATGTGGCTGGAGCTATAAACGAAATGTCACATTAAAAAGTGGCTCAAACGGGTGATTACCACATAGGAACCACCCGTCTCCAACAACCTTAAACCGAACATTATACAACCGGTTTGTTTCTGGTTCCTCTAATTGCAATTCCGGAATCAGTTATCAATGATTCTGGTTCTGAATGAAAAAATGTGTATACCTCTGTCATGTAAATTTTTGGAGATCTTACTGAATATGGGTAAAAGTGTATTTTTCCATTCAAATAGTACCAAAAAGAGAAGTAAGAACTTGATTTTGGGAAATCTCAAAAAGGAGAGTGGCAAGTGAGAATTTAATTGTGGAATGGAGGGAGGAACATATAATGTGACGGAAAGAGCGAGCACCAAACATACATCAGCTCAAGCAGTTGACTGCTTGTCTGCTTCTGTCAAGAATCAGGGCCTATATGAAACCTTACTAGGTTAGGGATTTGACCCACTGAATAGTGTTGAAGGCTTAGGTCACACAAGGTAGAAAAAGTATGATGCTTAAGGAGCATAAATGTTGACCAGTGCATCGTGATGTTAGTGTTTGTGAAACTTCATAGCTTTGTGGAGCCCGCCAACAACATATTTGCAAGTCAGTTGACTCGGTGTAAACCCCATTTTCATCATTTTCTCTTGAAATTCCATTAACTCACCAACATTGCCTTTCTCACCAAGAAGACACACAACTTTGTTATAACAAACTGAATCAAAAACTTGAAAATTTTCAGCAAACCGGATTAGTAAGAACAGCGCTTCATCAAAGTTCTTATCATCACATTGTCCTGTAATCAAAGCTCTACAAATTTCAGTGTCTGGTTCCAACCCTGAATCAATCATTTCTTGCAAGATGGAATTTGCCTCTAGGTTTCGACTTGATACACACAAACCATTAATGATCCCTCTGTATGAATCCAAACAGAGCTTGAACTTTTTACCCACCATCTCGTCTCTCAAACACAGTGCCTCATCCACATAGTTGCAATTGCAAAAAGAAACAATTAACTCTCTGTATATTACCATGTTTGGTTCAAACCCTTGTTTAGATATATGGTCCAAGATATTCTTGGCGGCATATGGTCTATTATCTGCGCACAGAGCTACAATCATGTACTCATGTATCTCATGAGATATTAAAAGCCCAAACTTCGGGAGCTCCAAAATCAAATTCAACGCTGAGATAAGTTTCCCATGTTCCCTATATCCTTCTAGTAGTTTCTGCAAACTGAAATCGTCAGGGCCCACTCCATTTTGAATCATATCATGAAACAAAGCCTTGGCCTCATGCAGCATTCCTTCTTTGCAGTATCCATGCAAAAGAGTGTTGTACGAAATAGAATCTGGTTTGAAACCTTTATGGATCATTCTGAGGAACAACTGATGAGCATCTTTGACATTTCCTCCCTTGCAGAAACCACTAATCAAGGAAGTATAGGTTATTAAATCTGGGGGCACTCCTCTTTTGTACATAATGTAATACAGATAAACTGCATCTTTTAGTCGCCCTCTCTTGCAATAACTGTCAACTAACATGTTATAGGTAATGATATCGGGTCCCAATCCTTCTTCTTCTTCCATTCTTTCAAGAAAATCATCCACCATGTCCACATCCCCGCTCTTGCAGAGGGAATGAATCATGATGTTGAGAGTGCATGAGTTCGGGCTCACCCCAATTCTCTCCATTTGGGCATACACTTTCCAGCAATTCGAAAAATGATTTGCCTGGGAGAGAGCATTCAAGAGGATATTAATTGTGATGACATTGGGCGAAACCCCCATTCTGATGACATTTTGAAATGTCTTAAATCCACGTTTTAGCATTCCAGCCCTGACGTAAACCCTAATAAGCATATCAAACACCACAGGACTCCAGTTGCACATCCGGGTACCATGGATCAAGCCAGTGAAAACAGAATCCCCCTTTGCCGCCGTGGTAGTCAGCTGGACAAGCTGGGATAGAGTCTGCATTGCCATGGAATAATTTCTAGACCAAGCCAATATGTGGACCATAAGGCAGTAGTTGAGCGTGTCTAACCTGTTACTAGTGCCATTGATGCTTCTGGCCCAATCGAAGAAGGAAAGAGCGGCGTGAGAATCGGATTGACATCGCAGGAGGACCTTTGAGATCTCGGAGCTTGTTAAAACGCGACTAGAAAGCTCCTCTTTTAGGCTGGCGCCTCTTGGGTTTCTCTGCTTTAAGGAAGAACATACGAGGGCGACTGTTTTGTTAGGATTTTCTGTATCCGGGAGAAAATTGTAGAGTGGGCTTGAGATTGGAGTGATCTCGGCTTCAATCTCATGGACGGGTACTTTTTGAAGAGATGAAGAATATGAGGGCGGAGGTGATGAGAAGAAGCAACGGTGAGATGATTGTGGAAAATAAGTTCGGACATAAACACTATATGGAAGACAAGAAGCACTAATTTTGATGGATGTCATGCTGAATTTGCTGGTAGTAGTTGAAACTGCTTGTACATTTGGAAATACTGACCGGATACTTCCATTCCCTCCTGATACAAAAGGCTTCGGCGCCGGGGGCCTGCCGCAGCATGCCCATGTTTTGCCTGGTTCGATCAATGAATTTGTGAATGAAAAACCTACTACCTACTACCCATTTATGTATTCATTTCCACAATTATTAATAAAGTAATTAAGGATGTTCTTACTTGGAGTAATTTGCTGGTCTGGTCTGATCTGGTCTGAATTTGTCTGGTCTGGTTCTTTGTATTTTTATAACTACCCAAGTCTGATCTGATCTGGTATGAGACAAATTAAAGTCCAAGTAAAAACATCCTAAAAGGTAAAAAGTTGTGGTTGAATTTTGACTATAATAAAGTGAAATATTGTGGATCACATATTTTTCCAAAAGGGAAAATGTGACACTTATTTTGTAATAATCCAAAAAGAAAAATAAGAATGGTAAAATGGGACAGAGGGAATACTTGCTTCTTGCATGAATTTGACAGATCCATTATAGTATACGAAGTATTAACAAATTTAAATAAAATAGCAGTGTTTTGTTGATAATTAGCCTGTTTAAACATTGTTTATTTTGTAGTAAGTTTCAGGGAAATAATGTAGAAATTATTGCCTTATTCAAATTTCAAAGTTCTTTACAATTTTAAAGCATCTGTTCTAGCTTTGTAAGCAACACTTCATGCAATTTCAAGATAACAAGCAAGACACTATTAAAATGTGTGATTATTGTTTCCCCACTACACACAAACTCCCTCTTGAACACTCTAATTTTAGTATGAAGAGTAAATGTATAGAGGAACTAGTGTTTTACCCGGGCGTTGCCCCGGGTGAAATTTTAAATTATATAGCTAGTATGTAAGTTATACTTAGCCTCGCAAAAAAGGCAAGTTATACTTAGTAACATGGTTACTCTTCGGTTTATATGGCATAAAAATTGATGGATGATAAAATAACAACTGACAATACAATATTAATATTGTCATACTTTAGAAAATAGTACTTTATAAAATAATAAATGTTAAGAAAATTTGTTTTATACAGAACATTTATGCTTGAGAAGAAATTAAACTTCTTAAAGTCATAGATGATTGGTAGTTAGGTCATATGTGAAATTATATATGTTCTCACTTGTTTTCTTGCTTTAATATAGAATAAAGTTTCTAATGTATGACGTGCCACACTACAACATGTTATATATGAAAATGAAACATAATTGCCTATGATTCACATACTCTCACTTTTAAAAGTGTTTAGTTACAAATTTTGTATACCTTGTAATCTATTGATATTATGTGTATGCACTCATGCTACAATCATTATGCATGACATTTGAATTATTTTTACTTCTAATTGCATAATGGGATAAGTTTCATAATATTGAGCATTCTAACTACACTTTTTAAAGTTTTAATTGATGCACATTTATACACTGCACACACGATTATATGTATTAATTTCATAAGCGCTCAATCAATGCGCAAATTGAATGAGCAATGAATTTTTTGAATTACCCTAACGAAAAATATTTTTTAAAAAATATTCTAGGAGTATACCCCATGCATGTGCAATTGCATTGCAGGGATTTTTACATGAAAACAAACTTTCGAAAATTTATGAAAAAATAATAACTGTATAAAAAAGATTGCCTAAATCTAAAACATAGTTCAATCACAAAAAAAAATTGGAAAAAGTTATAAGAACAATCCGATCTTTGATTGATCTTCTCTAAATAATCCTACATTTACATAATACTAGAATAATCCTACATTTGTACTACATCTTCTTTCATTGAACCCTAATTGATTGATGACCAAGTAACCAAATGTACCAGATTGTTTGCCTTTTCTTTGAAAACCTTACATAAATAATCTCACCTTTCACAAATTTAATCAAAGTTGTCCCATATGTTTCATTTTCTCCTTTTTCTCCCTAAAACTTTTCTTTCTTTATTTTTATCTCTAGATAATTTTTTATTCTTTTTCCGTCCTTTTGTTCTTATTTCTATCTTTTCCATATTTATTAGTATATTTCTCACTCTATTAGGAGTGTTTATTTAATTTTGTAAAATTCCCTCCCCAAACATATTTGTTTGTCATTTTCTTTTTGTCCCTGTTTTTTTATTATTTCATTTCACTTTTTGATGAAATAATAAAGACCTTTAAAAAAACAGAATGCTAAAGAAGAGTACCATAAAGAGAAATGAAATAAAAATACAGGAAGAAAAAATGACAAAAAATCTATTTGGGGAGGAAACATTACAAAAAAAATCTCTTAATAGAGTGAACAATAGAACAATAAATATTTGAAAAGAAATAATAACAAAAAGATGGAAAAAGAGAATAAAAAGGCGTCCGTGGATAAAAATAAAGAGAAAATTTTAGGAATAAAAAATAAAAAATTAAACATAAGACTGTTTTTAACAGATTTGTGAAAGGTGAGATTATTTATGTAAGATTTCCAAGCAAAATGCAAAAATCCTAATATAGTAGGTAAGTGTCAAACGAAAAAAATGAGGTGCAAAGGTGAGATCATCTGGTATTACATATATAAAGGCGATATTATCATGAGAAGATTGGTCAAAAGTTAGATTATTCTTGTCAATTATTTTCTAAAAAATGAGATAAGTATACATTATAAAGTTGGAACATAATCTATATAGGGTGGAAAGGGCGAAATTTTAACTTTTTCCTTGTTACCACTACTAGAAAAATGGCTTACAGTGACACTTTTTTAGTGACACTTTCAGATAAAATACTATCAGTGAGATAAAAGTGTCACTATTTTCTAACATTAAAATAGGAGTATCGAACAACGACACTTTGTAATACGGAGTGTTTTTTTAGTCAAACTTCACTTGGGCCGGATGTGTGCACACGCAGATCGATCCAGTTTTTTTTACGGAGTAACATTTCTAACCCTTCCTTTTTTCTCCCGTCACTTCACTTCCACATTTCTAACCCTTCCTCTTCGATATCCTCCTAGATCGATCGATTGAGGACGCCTGGCTAGCGGGCTGCCTTACATACTCCATCTCCTGGCCAAGTCTTCTTCTTCAGCGATTGCGTCTATTTCAGGTATGTAATCTGTCTTCATCTCCTCCGTAGGCCATCCTTCAATAATATTACGTATCATCTAATTTGGTTTAGTTTTTATTTTTCCTTAATCTGTCCTTCGCCGGAAGTGATTGCGTAGGGGCACTTCGCTCAAAGTCCGGACCGCCGAATTCGTCTCCCTCCTGAGTCATGGTCGTCTCAGCTCTGAGTAGCCAGTGGTGACGTTCTTGCTTCTAAAAATCGAAGGGGAAATGGAGAAGATGGTGGCAGTAGGCCTCGTTTGGGGAGCCACAAACGCCTTCATGAAAAAAATAGTTTGGCTGTAACATTCATCGGAGAAGAAATCACATTTCCTTTGCACTGACCCTTCTACAACATTTTTTATATTGTTATTTTGTAGTTGTATTTCCCTTTTAACAATTTAACTAGCTACATCTTCACTTGCAAGCTATGCAGGTTAATGTTGTTGACCATTTAGTTACATCGAATCTACACTCCGAGGATTTCTTATGGATCCTATGGAAGCTTTGTGGTCTTTCCCGGTAAGAACAGTCGAGTTTGTGATTTTTATTGCCTTGTATCAAATTAAATAAAATAGAACTTGCAAAAACATTGCATATTTCAGAAATGTAGAATGTGAAACTCTAGGAAAATCATCTATCTTGCATTGTATGTTTGAAATGTTCATATTCACAGTATGGCAGTACATCACTCATGTTTTCTACTACCACATATATACAAGGTGTTGGAAAAATGTGTGAAAAATTGCATTAAATGGCTACTTTGGGGCAATTTTTTGAGTGGGGTCCACTTCCGACTTGGGTCGGGTCAAAGTGGTTTCGGATTGTCCTTGTTAAGGGCTACAATTCGATATATGGTACGCTCAAAACGGATAACGGGTGAATGAGAAATCGCTTTTCGAAGTTTACCCGTTAGAATGGAAAAACTGGGAAAAAGGATGGGTTTCTAGTGTTAATTTCCCACACCGGAAAACCCAAGGGATTTGCAACCCTTTATAAAGGGACTCCCCCCTTAAGGAGTTAAGATTCCTTAGGGTAGAGGCTCTCTCCACGCGCGCAGGGGGGGGTGCAAATCAAATCCCGAAATCGGAGAAGAAAAACCGCGACTTGCGTGCGCGGGCGACCTGCGGACACGAATGTCGTCCAAAAATCTATCTCTCAAGAGATACAATTAATTTTTGTTTTCTTCCCGAAACGTATATTTTTTCCCAGTTGACAGAAGTGTCTAGCGGCAGAAGACCTCGGTCTCTCATGGCATCAGAATATCTCGCGTTGGTATTCTGGTGTCGGTCTCTGATGGCCTCGATCAGAATACCTCGCGTTGGTATTCTGGTGTCGGTCTCTGATGGCCTCGATCAGAATACCTCGCGTTGGTATTCTGGTGTCGGTCTCTGATGGCCTCGATCAGAATACCTCGCGTTGGTATTCTGATGGCCTCGATCAGAATACCTCGCGTTGGTATTCTGGTGGCACTTCTGAACCGTTACAGCAATAAATGCCCAACGTTTATATCTTTTAATGCAGTGTTAAATGGACAGTTCATGGACGATTCAATGCCCAACGGACTGGTCATTGATGTCCAACGTTCAGGTCCATTAATTCACTATTTTCACACAACAAATCCTCCTATATAATGGCTGGCAGGTGGTTTACAACAACACACAAGTTTATACACATCCTTCACGTATTTCAGAGCTAAAAACACCTCCAGTCCTTCTGAAAATTTCTCTGTGTTCATACTGTGTTCTCGTTTGCTGGAACTTTTGTTTGTGTGCTCAAACATTAGTTCGTAGTCATCGTATCCTGGGAAACTATTGTTGCAACGCTCCTAGCACCGTGGGAGGCAACAAATACGTTTTAAGGACATCGTGCGTAGCACGAGCTTTGACTAATTCTGCTTCATCTCCTTTCTTGTTTTTCTCTAGTCATTTTATTTAATTAATTTTAATTAATTTTCTTTATTTTCCGAAACACACCCAACAATCTTAAAACGTATTTGTTTGCTTAAGCTTGTACCATACGGGTACAATCTTAAAAACGTAGTTTGTCACTTTGGTGAACGAACTTAATTTTTTGTGCTTT